TATTTAGTTTTAGGTAAATGGATACTTATTGTCCACCACCAGGAAAAATTTTCTGGATCCGCCACTGGATATAACAACAGGCCTTGCTAACAAGGTCCTGATTTTCATCTTTATATATGCCTTCCTTATACGCACATTTTAATAGGTACATAAACCAGTAATATTTGGAAGTATCTGAGAGGAATCAATTGATGGTAAGACTCAAGAAAAACACGAGAAATATAGTGTTGTAGGATTATGTCTGCAATTTTCAATATCAATCACCACTCAACAAATGTACAGGTATTGGATTCATTTTTTAACTCACCCCATATGTATATAAAGGTCTCTTACCTAAGCAGCACAATCCATGTAAACCAATCATTTTAAATTAGATCATTTGTCCAATGCAACAGAATATGTTAGAATCTGAGTATTTCATATTAAAAATGTTTCCTCAAAACAGTTGGAAACATCAATTTCTTGAGACCCATTTCCCTCTCTTGATTTTTCTTTTTTTCCTTCCCCTGAGAAGGCATGCACCTAGACAATTAGGATAACATTATGTACAAGCTCATGTAAAAGAAGAGTTACCAGTGGATGTTTTATCTGTCATAAACGTACTCATTCTCTAAAGATCACAATAGTTATTGGGGATCTTTACTGAATATCAATGAAGTAAAGCATGGATCCTGTTAATACAAACTTAAATTTAATATGCATGTATTCTCTTATACATATTTAATGCCTATTTGACGCTGGATTATGAAGGGAGTGATGGATGGATTCCCATGAACAATGCGAATAAAAGGAGATGGAGAAGTGATAGGGATAGTTCGTAGAGTGGTAAACAAAAGAAGTAGACATTTATAGGCATGGATTAGGTAAGAACAAAAGGATATGATATTTATTAAAAAGTGGAGATGACCAAGGAGTAGCGCAGGGATCCTCATGAGCAATGGGGATCAAGGAAAGCAATACTTAAGAGATAGTATAGGGATAGTTCTAGAGTGGCGAGGAGTAGAAGTCGAGCTATATGGACAGAAGTTAAGCAAGGATAGTAGGATATTATAGTTGTTAAGTGAAGGAGAAAGTGTCCCACAAAGAAAAAAAAGATTCAGAAACAACAGAGTTTCTTGTCGTTGGTCTGCCGCTTCTGTCATTGAATCCCATCTTCAATCTGAGAAGTATCAAATAGAAAAATCAACTTTCATGTTGCTTTCATTATTATATTAACTCCTGTCATTTTAAACTCCACTTTATTTCCATATCCTGTCACACAAAAAACAGGATCCAGTATCACAAGGCACTTCATATTTCAATCTTTTGATGCTTCAGATACTTGCACATCTCATGACACTTCAAGACAGTTGAAGGATGCTCAAAAGATGCACAAATTTATATGTCAAGATATTATCATCCTTCTCATTTAATGTGAGGTATTTCATACAGAAAATGTCAAGTCTTGATCATAGAAATAAAGTTTTAAATAATTTGGCTTATCAAAGTAAGGACCAATTTGAAAGATGTCAATTCTCGATCATATGAGATAAATGCCTCTTTTTTTCCAGCTGGGCATGTGATGGTTGTGTTCTTTTGCCCTTTTTCGGACTTTTTTCTTTTTTGTATTCTTTCCTTCTCATCTTGTATGTGGTTTGGTTTTTTTGGATCGGCGGAGGGCGGGGGCGGGGGGGGGGGTACAGGAAAAAGGAAAAGCCCAATAGTATCTTATCAAGAGCCACCTAGTAAATGAGCAAAGTCCTTGCACAGAAACATAATAATGAATTTTACATTTTTGAAGGTCCACTTTTGCCACTTCTGGACATTCAAATATTTGACACCCACATCTCATGCCCAAGAAAGGTTAACATAACTTGATTTATGCAATAATCTTGATACCAAGAGATGATTTATGCAATAAACTTGATACCAAGAAAACAACAAATAAACTTCAAACTTAGCTTTCTTTCTACAAATACTGATATAAAAGTTTCTATGGAACTGGCATCTGTTATAGGAAAAAAACTGTAGTCAACAAATTATATCGAATGGTTAAATATAGTATCAACACTTAGTGTATATGCCCAGCAAGCATGGTTACACTGTATGTGGCACATAGCAGTGGTACATAGCAGGTCGTGGCATGAACTCGGTTATGCAATTCGCCACATAGAAAATTTAGATTTCCATTTTCAAAACTGTGTATTAGAAAACTAAAAACTAGAAAGCTTATTATACGTTTCAATGTTCTTCATACAAAATATTTGAATGCTTATTCTTTGTGAAGTTCATTCTTTAGTTTTGTTTTTCTTTCACATAGTTCATGTTGGGATCATGGCTCCATTTCACATTTTATTAACATAGGTATCTAGTTACAGTAATGTCATTAACTCTTATATACTATTGTGTGCCTCCCTTTACTCGATTGCGCACATTGCATTGCGTCTTGCAAAATATACACTTAAATGGGTTTCATATTTATAAGCAGTACGCCAATTTTGGGGAACTAATTCGTGTATCGTAGGGAAGCAATTCGCAAATGTACTAAGAATCGGTTCACAGAAACTGCATGACGGTTCAAAGAGGGGTCCAGGGAAACGCGCAACTATGCCATTAAGCCAACGATAATATGAAAGAACCTACTGCATCTCATTTTTTTTTGTGATCACTGATTATATCGATAACTTTTTATTAAGGAAGATGACTTTTGAACTTTTTGATATATATATATATATATGGTAATATAATATGCCTTTTCTTCTTTCATCTGAGTACAAGACAGTGGACAAAGAGAAACTAAGCTCAGACGACAAATTTTTTCTTCTTACTTTTTATCATCCTTATTTCCATATTTGTTTTTGTGGATACCTCAATTACTTGGTTTCCATCCCTCTTCATTCTTCAATATTGTCTATAAGAAGTCACAAAAGAGACTCATGGAAATCAACTGGACCATCTTTCGTGAGAATTCTGTCATCATAATATCAAAAGTAATAAATCCGTTAACTTCAAAACAAAGTTAACATTAAAAGTTACTCAAATATGATATTCATACTCCAAACTTTTCTCTTCAAGTAAAATTTTCCAGTCACGCCTCTTCCAGATTAGACAAATATGAGAGCAACACAGACACAGTAACATAGACTGAGGACCATCTATAGTATATCATGATATGGTTTCTCTTGTCAAGACTATTATAGACGCCTTTATTTTCTCCATAGCTTTCTATCAACTGACTAATATATACATTGACAGGTGACTAGCCTAGTAAATGGCCAAATGGGATTACTAACATTATCGAAACAATATCAGTTGTCCACTGCCTGGCATAAATTTTTTTTTTTCAAATCTAAGCAAGTTATTAGTAATTCTGCAAAATACTTTGCTATTGAATCTTGGGGACAGACAACGACTGCTAATATATTCTAATATTTGAACTTCATATCTTTTCTAACAATACTTCTTGGTAGATGGCGACTCTAATTTGATGGGCTAAAAATTACATGTATAATCCTCAAGCAATCTTTTTTTAGCACAATAATATAGTTTAACTTTAAATGATCATTTGAAGTTCAAAGCAAAAATATTTGAAGCACCAGCTCCATCCTTATGCAAGAAATTAACAAAGAAACGGAATAAAAAACTTAACCAAATGAGTACAAGGATGAAGTTGGGTATACGAACAACTATGTCACCGAGAGATAATTAGGATTGTCATTAAGGTATTGTTGTAGGGTCTCTGTCCAGGTAAGTCAAAGTTTCACCAGTAATCTAACGCAAAAAAGAACTTTTAACTTTGAAGATTCCTGAGATATTAGGTATAGCCTGTAGGATGGAAGTCAGGACCAAAGCATGTTCAAACAAAGAGGCAACAAGCTCAAACAATGATCTTTCTTTCTCACATTTATTTCAACATTAGTATCCTCTTGAAGTATTTCTCACCTCTATTTTTTAAGAGCTATGAGATTTGCCAAATATTGGGTTTTCTTCATTCTTCCACATTTATAAGAAAAGGCCAGAAGAAGAGATTCATGGATATACATTGGGCTATATCTTTGTTGAAGGTTTTGTCTTCATCATTTATAAAGTACCAAATGCTTTACAAATGCTTATGAGATATTTATCATCAAAAAAGTTTACTCCAAAACTTTGCCTCAGATTAGGTTTTTCAATTATGTTTCTTTTAAAACAGACACACATGATAAATCAAAATGGTTTAGGGACACTACAACAATAGTAATACAAATGCATAGGACTCATAGTACCAGGCATGAGGCATCATCACTTAGTTCTCGCTGTGATACAACTTGACACCCTCATCCTAACTGCCTTAAATATTATGATGTTCGTTCTCATGCCAAGACTGTTTCCCACATAAACTCTACCAACTTCCTAAATTAAAACAGGTCAATCAGAAAGTAAAAGGCAGATCGGATGCGGACACCACCATCGTCTTTCTAGCTTCCTATCTAAAGAAGAGAATTGAAATGCAGCAAAATGCTTCTTTATGAAATCTTGGAACAGAAACATTTTCAAGTCACTAAGAATGCACATACTAACATTTTAGCATCAGATTCTTTTAAAGCAGCACTTATTCAGAATTTGGTGAGCTATAATCTTAATGATAAATCACGTATAAAACAGCCAATCTTTATGTTGCAGACTATAGCAATAACATAACAAAATGAACTTCATGAATCTTTCAAAGTTGGACTAACATCCTAAAAGAACTATAATCTATCCCTCATGCAAGAAAATGTTTTTAAAAAAATGGAGTCAAGAACTTAGTGGCAGTTCCTTTGGGAGACTTCTTTTGTGAATTTCAAACTCTGTAACTTTATTCAATCAGATAAACAGTCTTCTTTCAACCTAGTCCAAATTTGACTACATCCAAATATGAGGGAAGATATTTACTAATCAAAATCAACAAACAAAGAAAAAAGAGAAATTAAAGAGGGGAAATTTACAAGTCTTTCTTTAAAATCACAAACTTCACTCCAAAGCACCGATCGAATAAGTACCTCAACAGTCCAGATGAAGAAATCCAAGGGCTCAGGGGGCCGCCCCTTGCTCATATCGACCCTTCGCATGCGGAACCCTAGAATTTGAATGAAGTTTATCAAATTTCGCCAATAAAGCGACCAAAAGAAGATAAAAAAACCCCGGGAAATATCCTCGAAAATCTAAGTAGCGAAAAAATTATACCTTTAAGAGGAAATCGAAAGATAAAAAACCAAATTGACGAATATCACAAGCTGATCAAGCTCCAAGGGTGGACCTGAGGAAATTGGAGAGGTTCGATTCGATTTCCCCCAAATTGAAAAAAGAGAAGGAATCCAGTTTTTTGTAAACAATTTTGGTGAGTAGGAGTTTTTCATATGCACCCTCGACATATTGCTGTTTGTGTTTTTACATTGTTCTTAGAGTTTTTTGTATTTGCAGGTTT